TGGCTTCGGATTGTACTACCTTACAACCGGTAAGCTCTCTATGTGGAATCTCTTTTATTGCTAAACGAGTCTCCTTCATCATCGGTTTGTGTATTCATAGTCTCTTGACGTTATGCTAGGTCACGTGGAGAATTTCCACAACGCCTTTGAGGGGTCGAATTTTTCTCCCGGTTATTTGGCATTGGCCTTCTATCAGGGCTTCTGGGCATATTCAGGGTGGTGAGTACTTTTGCCTAATCATTATTGAACTGTCACTTACTTAGTTACCGGTGTTCGTCAGCTGACTGTAGTCGAGAAGAGGTGGACACCTCTTTAAGCTCAATTTGCCAATGAATTTTGTAAGGATGATCCTTTACATCTGGGACACAGCTGTTTCATCTTCTAACCCAAAGGCCGTTGTGATTTGGCTAATGCGATTAGGTTTATGAGGTCTACTAGAAAACTGACGCCTTGTATTTTTGAGTCAAAGAAATTCGCTACCATATTCCTAAATATTCGCATTGTTGGATGTAGTCTAACCAGAAGTGTTAAGGTTGAAGATAGTGTCGATGTGATTAGTAAATTAAATCTGATTTGGGTCTCGTATGGTATGCTATCATTGTCATAATGGTTGCTACCATCTTTACAGTTGGCGATTCTCCAATTAATTTGCAGGAACTACCTGAATTTCTTGGTCGAAGAAATGAAAAATCCTGGCAGGTAAGTGCCAAGGCGATCGGTTTGAGATAACTTAGCTGGAGTTAAGTGTTAGCGTTGTTATTACCGTTTCAGAAATTTGCCATTGGCAATCGGGATTGCCCTCACCTTGGTAACTGGTTTGTACATGCTGACGAACATAGCCTACCTGGCAGTACTCAGCCCCTTTGAAATGCTGGCCACAGGTTCCGGATCCTCCGCTGTGGCAGTGGTGAGCTAAGACAGCCTAATTTTTAGATTTTGTATATTTGCTCGGCATAGGAGAATGGGACATAGTTCAGAAAGGTTGTATTTTTCGCAAAGGAAGTGGGAACTTAACCTTTGTAACGATAAGTGTTGAATCGCGAATTATGGCTAGCATCGCGCCATTTTCAGGTGTTCGCGAAGCGGGCAATGCCCTGGATCTCCGTGCTCATGCCCGTCTTTGTCGGTGCCTCGGTGTTTGGAAGCATCAACGGCCT